GCTCGGGGGCCTAGGGTGGGGACAGCCGAGGCAGTGTGAACGGGCAGGACCCACCCGAGCTCTGGAGGGGCTGCAGTGGCAGTAGCTGGACGCCCTTGCCCCTCCCCCAGCTTCCTGCCAGCGTGTCTGCTGGGAAATGAAAGGTTGGCCCCTGGCCCCAGCCCACTGCATCCTAAGATGGCCTCTGCAGGCCGCCCGGGGTCAGCAGGCCTCCCCTCGGTGGATCCCCTGTGGCAGGGCTGGCGAAGCCACAGCTGCCTAAGGTTACTTCCCGCTCTGCCCAACCCTCTAGCCACTGCAGGCATCACTAATCGATGGTAAAAGCAGCAGGAAGCCAGTCCCAGGAGGAGCGGCCAGCTGCCCGGTTGGCTGCCCTGGGAGGGCTCTGGCCAGCCCAGCCATCCCGGATGTCAGGTCAGGCTGGTCCCAGACGCCGGGCTCTACGGCGGGCAGGACACACCAGACCCACACCCTTCGGCAAGGGACGGCCATGCAGGAGGGAGGCTGCGCTGACGGTTCCCAAGGACGGGCCTTCCCGTCCCTGCCCCAGAGACGAGCAGAGCTTTGCTCGAGACCAGCCAGGAGAGCAGGGCTGGCCCGGGAGCCCTGACAGGCCGCCTCCCAGGCAGCCCTGGTCATCCGGAGGCACTGACCATGCCAAGGGCCTGAGCCCTGCTCCCGCCCCCTGCTGCCTGCTCCGAGCGCCAGCAGTGCTCACCTGGATTTCCAACTCTGGAGACTTCACGGGCCAAGGCAGAGGAGGGACGTGACAGACAAGAGCCACGGGGACAAGCCGAGGGCCACCAGGAGGGCTGACCCTCTACTGTTAAAGACTCCCATGAGAACAAGATGAGCTGACCACTTAGGGGCAGAGCTGGGCTGAGCGGCCCCGCTACCCCGCCTCCACCCACGTGGCCAGCACGGCTGTGACCTCGCCTTCTGCCACCCCGTCTCTACCCGCATCCCACGTGGCCAGCACGGCTGTGACCTCGCCTCCTGCCCAGGCACCTCCCAACCCCTCACCGTGATGGAGCACATGTGTGTGAGCGGGAGAGGGAGGGAGAAGGGGGGGAGAGAGAGAGCCAGAGACAGACGGGGAGAGAGGGAGGGCAGGTGGCCAGGTGGGCAAGGTGTGGACTCCCACGTGATTCGAGTCCTGGACTTGGTGGCTTGCTTTCTCACTTTCCCTCTCTCTCTGGACAAAGTAAGAATAATAATGATAATAAAAAAATAACTAATTTTAAAAAGAGGGAGGAGGACACTGGGAGAGAGAGGAGATGGAAAGGAAGAAGGGAGAGGAAGGTTCAGAGGCAGATGGGCGGGGGAGACAGGGAGAGAGAGGGAGACAGAGACAGAGAGAGAAAAAGATGCAGAAGAGAGGAAGACAGACGAGAGAGGGAAAGATGGGGAGAGAGGAGGAGGAGAGACAGAGACAGGGAGAGAGGGGGAGAAAGAGAAAAAGAGAAAGAGGCAGGGAGGGAGGATGAGGGGGCACCCTCCACACCCACTGGTCACGCACAATCCCCCTCCTCCAGTGCTCAGGCTGGTCGAGTCCTGGATGCTCTGACCAGGCCAAGGATTCGAACTGCAGTTACCACGTGGCCTCCAGAACCACAGCTTGGCACGCTACCGGCTGTACCACCCAGGCTGGGCCTCCGGGGCATGTCCAGTGACCTCGCACCCCTTCTGCAGACCCCACTGTGCAAACCCCACTGCACAGCAGGACAGGCCACTCACTCCGCCTCTGGCTGCCCAGCAGGGTCAAGGGCGTGGTGTCCTGAAGAGACCTTCTGGGCCCCTCCCTGTTACAGAGTGACACAGTTTTTGCTCCCTGGAGGAGAGGCCGGGGCTTGGAAGGCCAGCTGTGCCAGTGGCCTGGCGCATGGACATTCCCCCGAGGAAGGCAGAGACCTCGCATTAGAGGCTCGCCCTCCCAGCCCCACTCCAGGCCTCCGTCCCAGCTGCCGGGGGCTAAGGCAGGGACTGTGTAAGGAGCTTCTAGGACGACCAGAGCCAAGGACCACAAACTGGGGGCTTAAAATACAGGAGATGGGACAACCGGGTGGCATGGCGATTGAGGCGCTGAACTCCCACGTGGCTGACCACAGTTTGGGTCCCAGACCTGGTGGTTAGCTTTCTTGTTTTCCCTTTCTCTCTCTCTTCTCGTCAAATTAAAAAATAATAACAAATGGAATTAAATAAATTATTATTTCTTTTTAAAAAAAGAAGAAAATCACTGGGACCAGCAGTTGGCGTAATGGCTACATCGCTGGACTCCCATGTAGTTAAACGTGGTTCGAGTCCTGGACCCGGTGGCTTAAACTCATGCCTGGCGCGTGTGCGTGTGTGCCCAAGATCCCGAGAGG